GGTGCGCCCTGCGCCGCCACTGCGGCGCGCACGCCACTGCCGCAGCCACGAGCTGTCGGCCGCCTACTTCTTCTTGGCGACACCCACGGTCTTGCCGCGGCGACCAGTGGTCTTGGTGTGCTGGCCCTTCACGCGCAGGCCCCAGTAGTGGCGGAGACCGCGGTGGTTGCTGCGCGGGCGATGCGCGGGCGGCGGAGGGCCGCGTCAGTGGTTGCTGCAGCGGATGCAGACGGCAGCGGTCCACATAATTGCACAGGAGTCAGCTGCTCAGCGCCTGGCCGACTGCTGCCCCAGCCCTTGTGGTAGCGCAACCGCACGTGTCACAAGCTCAGGTCCACGTGTCACAAGTTCAGGTCCCTGCGCCACGGAAACCATGCGATGAGCAACCCACCGGATCTTCTTGAGGCGCTCCAGGTCGTCGCGCAGCTTGGTCTCCAGGCCGCTGGAAGTGATCTGGCTGAACCGGCCGTCCTTGATATCCTTCTGCCTGTTCAGGAACCAGTCGGGGATCTTGTACTGCCGGGGGTTGGCCACGATCGTCATCATCTGCTCCAGCTCCTCCGCAGTGATCTCACCAGCCCTAGTGTTGTCATTGGGGGCAGACGGGCACGCTTGCGTGTGTGTGAGGGTGGGGGGGATGGCATGGCAGCTTGATGCTGCGAGTGCAGGACAACGCCGAAAGCAGTACAGTCTTGACAGCGGAACTTCTGTGAAGAGGCGCCATCTCGGCTGGTACAGCAAGCTGCGCCTTGCAGCCCGCGATGCCTCGCGCAAGTATTTTGCTGTAGTGTGCACGCCTGCGCGTCGCGACTGCCGCTGTCCGGCGCTGCTGACGCTTGCCGTGCTGTTGGTCCTCAGCACACGGGCAAAATCCAAATGGAGCAGCTGGATAGATCAAAGACTGCTGCTCGTGCTGCTGCAGAGCGCAATGTGACAACACTTCATCGTCCTGATGCAATGGGACAACACTCCGCAGCCTTCGCTGCCACTGCTTCATCAAAGCATAGCCGGCAAAGCACAGGCGTAAATCCACTGCTGGCAGCTGCTGAGATGCTACCGCTGCGGCCGCAGTCGTGCCTCAACAATCCCCTGCATCGCAGGACGCCCTGCCCACCACTCCAATGCGCGCTCAGCCCCCCTTCCCTGTCACCTCTTCTTCATGTCCACCTCGGCCTTCTTGCAGACCAGGTTGGAGAAGCGCCGGCCGAGGCCGCGGATGGCGGTCATGGCGTACATGACCTTCTGCTTGCCGTCCACGTTGGTGTTCAGCACACGCAGGATGTGCTGGAACTCGTCGCCGCTGACCAGGGACTGCGTGCATGAGGCATCCGGGAGTGGGGAGGCGGCACATCGGTCGTCGCGCGCCATGTTTGCCGCCGCCGCTGCTGCTGCTTCCCGTCCTGCTGGTGCCGTGGCTGCCGCCGCCTTCGCCCGTTGCCAGATCAGCAAGCCACTGAGGAGTTCCAGCGTGCCGTGACAGCGAGAGCTGCTCAACAAAGCAGTGCAGAGCTCGAAGGCCGAGTTAGGCCTCTCGAGCTCAGCCTGACAGCTGCCCGCAGAGAGCAGCACACTGCAACCCAACATCTTATGTGTCTGTTGTATCCATAAAACAAGCCTGCGACCCGTGGTTCTTGCAAGGCCGCCGTGAGACGCACCCCCATTTTTGCCGCAGCTGCTTTTCCGTGCACAGGCTCCACGTAAAAGACAACTGTACGCTGGAAAGAGGGCGGTGTGACGGTGCAAGTGGGGTCAAGAGCACGCCTGGGGTGCGGGAGATTGGCGGGCACAGCGCGCTGTTATTCTGGATCGGCAGCCATCACAGCCAAAGCGCGCCGAAAAACCTTTTCTAGCATAATCATTGCATGGTGGTGGGGTGACGCTGCCTGGGATCATCAGTAGAGCGGCATGACAATGCGTCGGCGCTCGACGTGGACTGGCAGCTCCGCAGCGTGAGGAGGCTTGGATTGCATTTTACACCGCCCAATCAACTTAGCAAAGTATAGCGCTGGTGCTTAGGTTGCCTGGCGTGCTGCCCCATGCGCTCACATTTGTCGCTTCAATCCTGAGGGTCCGGTGTGGGGCAGTGGAGTCCTTCTCGATCACACTATGTAAAATGACACTGCTTGTGAGTCAAGTCAAGGCACACTAGCTTACAAACCCCCAGTTTCAGTGCACAAGCATCTGAAAGTACCTGTGAGCACGCAGGCAGTGACGAGTGCTCGTTTTCCTGCTGGCGCGTAGCGGGCGTGGCCATCATCACGGGACACCCCGCACACGGCAGCGGTATGCACAAACCCTGCAAAGTATCCCTGCCCATATCTGGTCACAAACTTGCAGCTCCAAAACTCATCTCACCTTCCTACATGCCACCAGACAAACCTCTCTTGTGGCTTCGTACCCCCCACCAAAAGGACCGATAGATTCAGCGGACCCTGAGCCGTTTGAGTGAACAGTGGCCCGCAAGCGCCGTGGAGTTTGATATCCGTGATTCACCTGCTGTAATGGCTCAGCCCTGGCGCACTCCTACAGGCCATGCAGCAGGACAGCAGGCAGGTGAGCGGGCGCCGCTGGAACGACACTGCACCGTGGCCGTGACAACCCCGGCGACGGCGCATGGGTTCTCCCTCTTCCCAAGCCGTGGTCCATTTCCGTGAGCACAGGTTGGCAGCTTGTGGTCGACACAGCAGGCAGCCCGCTGTTCTTTAGGGGCAGTGGCTTTGCGCGGGGACACACAGCGTCGGCTCTTGCAGCTACAGTCGCTAAGATGTCATACATGCTTGTCTGTGCGAAGATGCAGCGTACTCTGTGCAGCGCTGGACCTGGGCGAGAGGGCATCGCTCGGCGGCTCTCTCTGCTGCCCAGCTGGGACGCCCGTTTAGTGGTCCTGATGTGACGAAGTATCAAAGGCCTTTTGCGTGACGCGTGATCAAGGCAGCCGGTGCTCGCGCCCTGACCGCCGCCCTCGGCATGTTGCGCGCTGCCGCCGCCCCCTCTGCGACCCTGCAGGGCGCAGCAAAGATGCCGTTCAAGCGGTACGTTGAGATTGGCCGCGTGGCAATCATCAACTACGGCCCTGAGGTCGGCAAGCTGGTGGTCATCAGCGATGTCGTCGACCAGAACAGGGTGAGCGCTGCTGCAGCACCATCTCAGGCGTGCACGGGTTCGGGCGGTCAGCTCGCGCACCGCGCAAGAGCACTCATGCGGCCACAGTGCGCGCTGCGTAGCGGCTTGCCGGGCACGGCTCTTAGCAGCGCGGCGCCCTGCCTTGCCGCCGTCCCCCGCGAACGCGCGCAGGCGCTCGTGGACGCCCCCGGGTTCACGCGCCGCGTGGAGACCTTCAAGCGCCTGACGCTCACCGACTTCAAGCTGGACATCCCTCGCCTGGCGGCGAAGAAGGTGGTCAACGAGAAGTGGGCCGCTGACGGTGAGCCGCGGGAGCCGGAGGCCGGTGTAGCGCGCAGCGGGGGCGCCAGGGGACGGCGTAGCATGTCAAACCGTTGTTGTGCTACAGCGAGGCGTGGTGACCATTGGGCATCCAGCGCAGAGTGGCTGGTAGCAACGGTGCAGCTTTCAGCGGGACGCCGCACGCAGCGAGTCTATAAGCTGCGAGGTCCAGCTTTCGATGGCGATGAGGGCTGTCTCGGTTGCGCAGGGCATGAGGCCGCAGCATCAAGCAGCAGGGCTAGCCACATGCCCGCGTGCTGCCGCATCGCTGGGCGAGCAGCATCTTGTGCAGCTTTGGGCCTCCCTGCCCACAATTTGGGCAGTGTGCTGGAGCAGTTGCGGCGCTGTGTATGGGTGGCACCAGATCGAGCGCTTCATGACTGTGGCCACCCTTTGCCCGCCGCACGTCTACCCACTACCGCTTATCAGACATCAACGGCAAGTTCGACGCCACCGCGTGGGGCAAGAAGCTCAAGGCCCGGGCAGACAAGGCGGCGCAGTCCGACTTTGACAGGTTAGCCTCCGGGGTGTGGAGTTGACATGCCTTTTTGGCCTGCTAGGTGTAGGTGGTGAGTGCGGTGTTGATGTGTCCTGATGCAGCAGTGGGCAATGCTGGAGGTGAGCCTGCGCAGTGCCCGCTCAAATGCGTCGCAAACGCTGCCCCCTGAACAGGTACAAGGCAGCTGTGGCGAAGAGCAAGAAGGGCCGCCTGATCCGCGCGGCGGTGAACAAGCTCAAGAAGTGAAGCGGCGCGCGCCCGCTCCAGCAGCAGCGGCGGTGCACGGCAGGC